GACGCCACCGGCGGCTTTAGCGAGGCATCGCTTGCACCCCAGTAAATCCTCGTGGACTTGCGCTTAACGGAATCTGCCACCATGTCTATTGACTTTCCCGCCGAGGAGAGGGCCATTATTGAGAGATGGAGGGAGATTGATGCTTTCAAATGCCAGGTAGGCCTTTTCCCCAATGGCTTATTACTCCTGCATAGTGGGCAATGGAATCTGACTCTTGCCGCCTCCCATGTAGGTTGAGATGTCCGAGGGCCGACCCTATTACACCTTCTACGATGGACCTCCATTTGCAACTGGTCTGCCTCACTACGGTCATTTGCTTGCTTCAACAATCAAGGATGTTATCCCTCGTTACTGGTCCATGAAAGGCTACCATGTTGAGCGATGATTTGGATGGGATACTCACGGTCTTCCTATTGAGCATGAGATTGATAAGAAGCTCGGGATTTCGGGGAAGGAGGCTGTTATGAAGATTGGCATCGCAAAGTATAACGAGGAATGCCGCGCTATTGTCATGCGCTATGCGTCTGAGTGGCGGACAACCATTGAGCGACTGGGACGTTGGATCGATTTTGACAATGACTACAAGGTGAGCATCACATGCTTCGTGGTGGTGTCATTTTTTCGCGGATGGGGTAGCTGACAATACTCTAGACCATGGACCCAAGATTCATGGAGTCTGAATGGTGGGCTTTCAAGCAGCTCTTCGAGAAAGATCAGGTCTACCAGGGCTACCGTGTTATGCCCTACTCAACTGTCTTGACAACGGCTCTGAGCAACTTCGAGGCCAACCAGAATTATCAAGATGTCAACGACCCTGCAGTTGTTGTTTCGTTCCCCCTGGTTGACGACCCTGAAACCAGCCTCCTCGCGTGGACGACGACACCATGGACCCTTCCTTCCCACCTCGGGCTGGCCGCGCACCCCGACTTCGAGTACGCCAAGGTGAAGGATGAAAAGACTGGAAAGACGTACATCATTCTAGAAAAGCTCCTCAGCACTCTGTACAAGGACCCCAAGAAGGCTAAGTATACCATTATTGGCAAGATTCTCGGCAAGGATATGCTTGGCTGGAAGTACCTCCCGCCGTTCGACTACTTCTACGAGGATTACAAGGATGTTGCATTCAAGGTTCTCAATGCTACCTACGTAACCGACGACAGCGGTACGGGAATTGTTCACCAGGCCCCTGCTTTCGGTGAAGACGATTACAGCGTTGCTGTTGAAGCCGGTATCGTTACCGAAAAGCGCCCTGCTCCCGACCCCCTGGACGATACGGGCCACTTCTTGTCGCGCGTTCGCGACTTTGAGGGAATGCATGTGAAGGAGGCCGACAAGCACATTATCAAGCACCTGAAGAATGCCGGACGACTGGCTGCCGAGTCGCAACTCCGTCATTCATACCCCATGTGCCCCCGATCCGATACGCCGCTTATTTACAGGGCCCTTCCATCATGGTTCATTCGAGTGCCAGAGAGCATCCCCGACATGTTAAAGAATATTGATGGTACTCACTGGGTTCCTTCTTTTGTGAAGGAACGTAGATTCGCAAGCTGGATCGCTAATGCTCGTGACTGGAACGTTGGTCGAAACCGGTACTGGGGAACCCCGATTCCTCTGTGGGTCAGTGATGACTTGGAAGAGCGTGTATGTGTCGGCAGCATCCAGGAGCTCAAGGAGCTTAGCGGCTTCGAGGGCGAGATCAACGATCTCCACCGGGATAAGATCGATCACATCACCATCCCCAGCAAGCAGGGCAAGGGAGTCTTGAAACGTGTTGAGCAAGTGTTTGACTGCTGGTTTGAGTCAGGTAGCATGCCATTTGCCAGCCAACACTATCCATTTGAGAATGTTGAGAAATTCGAGAAGAGTTTCCCTGGAGACTTCATCGCTGAGGGTCTTGACCAGACCAGAGGATGGTTCTATACTCTTGTGGTATTGGGAACCAAGCTGTTCGGCGTCTCCCCCTTCAAGAACTGTGTTGTGAACGGTATCGTTCTTGCCGAAGATGGAAAGAAGATGTCGAAGCGTCTCAAAAATTACCCCGACCCATCTATTGTCATGGAAAAGTATGGATCTGATGCATTGAGGCTCTACCTCATCAACTCACCCGTTGTCCGAGCCGAGCCACTTCGCTTCAAAGAGTCAGGCGTAAAGGAAGTTGTGCAGAAGGTGCTTCTGCCTTTGTGGAACTCATATAAATTTTTTGAGGCCTCAGTAGCCATGCTAAAGAAGATTGAGAACACCGATTACGTCTGGGATCCTTCAATGGAGTCTAGCAACAGCAATGTCATGGATCGCTGGATCTTGGCCAGCTGCCAAAGCTTGCTTGAATTTGTCAATGAAGAGATGAAGTGTAAGTTTGCTATTTTTCGCAAGGCAATTCCTTGACTGACCATTTAACGCTAGTCTATCGCCTATACACTGTTGTCCCAAGACTTCTTGAGCTCATTGACAACACGACAAATTGGTACATTCGCTTTAACCGTAAGCGACTCAAGGGTGAGAACGGCCTGCAGGATACCTTGCATGCGTTGAACTCCCTATTCGAAGTTATTTTCACGCTCTGCCGTGGACTTGCACCTTTCACTCCATTCCTCGCAGATAACATTTACCAGAAGCTGCTTCCTCACATCCCCGAGAAGTTGCGTGGTGAGGACTTCAGGAGTGTGCATTTCTTGCCCTTCCCCGAAGTTCGCAAGGAGCTGTTCGACTCCGCTGTTGAGAGACGAGTGGGGAGAATGCAGAAGGTCATTGAGCTTGCCCGAGTATCCCGAGAGCGACGCACCATTGGCCTCAAGCAGCCGCTGCAGACTCTCGTGGTCATTCACTCGGATCCTCAATACCTTGAGGATATCAAGTCTCTTGAGAACTATATTTCGGAGGAGTTGAATGTCCGTGACCTTGTATTGTCCTCTGACGAGGCTAAATACAATGTCATCTACAGCTGCACAGCCGACTGGCCAGTCCTGGGCAAGAAGCTCAAGAAGGACATGGCGCGAGTGAAGAAGGCCCTCCCGGGAGTGACCAGCGACCAAGTTCAGGGGTACGTGAGAGACAAGTTTATCGAGGTCGATGGTATTCGCCTTGAGGAGGGCGACCTAGTTGTCCGCCGTGGAGTCAAGGAAGACGAATCCAGTAAGAACTTGGAGATCAATACCGATAGCCACGTTCTTACTATTCTGGACACCGAAATCCACCCCGAACTTGCCCTTGAAGGTCTCGGACGTGAGATCATCAACAGGGTACAGAGACTTCGAAAGAAGGCAGGCTTGAATGCAACTGATGACATCAAGATGGAGTACCGCGTTCTCACCGACCCAGACAACGTCGGATTGGAGCAGGCATTTGAGTCGCAGTCGCCTGCTTTTGAGAAGGCTCTGAGACGAACCCTCGAAAAGGCATCACCGGATGCTACTGGCGAGAAGCTGATTGCTGAGGAGGATCAGGAAGTGCAACAGGCGACATTCTCGCTTAGACTCCTCAAGCTCTAATTGGTGTATTGAGGACAAAAAAAATCATCTTGTGACGAAAGAAATGTAGACAAGCTAGAAAATACAAATATATTATGTGAAGACTAATTTCGTAACCGATTTTATTGGAGCCTGCAATTTATTTTTTGCTTGCTCTCTGTAGAAAATAGAAGCAATGTCAGTGCAAACATGTTGAGTTGAGGAGCATGGCTTTTGAACAACAGAATCAGAATGGGCTGTCTGAAATCATTGGACTGACCAAGTAGCAATCTTTTAATTTGATGAACTCAGTGACGCACTTGTCTTTGTGCACGGAGTTGTAGTCGGCTACAATGCATTTTCCATACGCAGCAGCCTTAAGATGATGAGTTTGACTTGTTCAAGAAGAGGAGGGTAAGACAGCGCAAAGATACCTGTGCCGAGCATTTGGCAGTGGCCTCTGCAAATTTCTGAATTGGACGTGTTTTTGCTGGGGCCATTGTGAAGATGAATGCGGATTGGGTGCACTGGCTGTTGTTGTAGTTGACAGTTGATGAAGATGAACAAACTTGTCTTAGCTGATGTGAGGTTCGGTTTCTGTGATAGGTGGTCCGCTTCATTACATAAGTGACCCCAACATCATAGACCGTCCTCTCTGGTGTGTACGAGATGCCAATCCGGTACCTTCGCTGCCTGTGTCCAGCACCGTTTGTGCCTACGTCTATCAACAAGAGATTATTCATTGATAAGAAGAGATCTCGGAAATGAGAAGTTCTTCAATTTCTTTTGAACCTGCCCTAAATCCCCTTAACGATCTCTGACCATTGTTCCCTGTGGACAATAAGGGTCTCCGTCCCAAGCAAGGTCAGAATCACAGCATGCTGGGAGGGTTCTAAATGTCTACATGGCAATTAGCTGAGTCGAGGATATCCACTTTACTACCTATTAATGTCAACATCAATAGATAGGAAGCCAAAGAATATGCGATCCGGTTGAGATATGCGTGGCGTGGCATAGCAACGCGAGTCTCCAAGAGGGTACTTGCTCTTTTGTAAGTGCAAGGTATTTTGGCAGGGCGGCACAGTGGGATCGGTACATGCAGATACTTGTTATCCTAGCTCCGCGAGTCACTCCCTGGCAGGAGGTTGGCCGGGGCCATGGTGGGGCGCAAGGTGAGGGTGCAGGTCCGTCTAGTCGGTCGGTTGGTGGTTGCACGTCGATGCGCGTGCTCGCGTTTGTCCACCAGTTTTCATTGTCCAATTGCTTCAATGCAAACCTGGGAGATAAACAGCAGTCTTTCTTTCAGACCCAGGACACCCTCTTCCGCCCAAATGTGCGCGCATGCCAATTCTACCAAGATCTCGCCTATCCGCACCACCGATTCTGGCGCTCATCACAACTGTCCTGGTCCCGAATAGTGGTTCTGCTTCGCGAGAGGAAGGGTTGGCGCATGCATGAAGCCGTCGCAACCCAGCAGCCCGACGTCGCCTCTTGTTTTTGATTATGGATCAATAACGGACCTGGAAGTCTCGCCTCAAGTAAGCTTGGTTCATCTTTTGAGCTTCGCGATCGCGATTTGTAGCACCCAGCTGACCCCTTGCTCGTTAACCATAGTGGCATATTCGTATCCTCAACCTCTATCGCAGCACTCGGCCTCCCCTCAACCCGACGATGGCGGTTCAAGCGTCGCGAGCTGGGCTCGCTCCGTCCAGGAACCCTACTACTCTAATCACGGTATGCGTCCTGTCTTTTATGGGAGGGGTCCACGAACCTCGCTAATTTATTTGTTTGGTTTAGACATAGCAATTCTACACGCCATTGTGTCCGCAGCCCAAGACGAGATCGATTCCGCGCCAGATCCCAAGCCATTACCAGCTGCAGCGCTATTCAAAGCCTACGATCGCGTTCTTCCCGAGAATGGCATCGATCCAGACGATGATCACCACCTGTCCGCCTTTGTCTTCCGGGTTGGAGGTGAGCGCGGTCAGGGCACGTTGCCGGATAAGCTTCATACTATTCTCGGTCGGATGGGCATCGAGCTTGAATTTGGGGAGGACAATGCTTTCTCAGTGAGATCCTCGCCTTCACCTGTGCCTCCAGAGTCGCCCCCGACTCGCCTCTCAACGTTCCCCCCACGGCCGTATAGCAAGGAATTGCCAGTGGTTGATAGCGATGCTCCAGATACGGCTTCATTTTCACGCCCACCCTCGCAGCATGGGGTCGAAGAGTCAATCGCGGACGATGCTAGCGACTTTTCCCAGAGCGGGCTTGAGGAGGCACTTGAGTCTGCAAGACGTATGGCGTTGTCCTCAGCGCTATACCGATGGCGACAAGCAGCTTCTCAAAATCGCAGGGTTCAAGGCAGGCTTGCCTTGGCTGACAGTTTTAGAATGACTGCCCCTCTGGCTCCTGCGACTTCCGCGGCACCCTATCCACGAGTTGTGCCTGGTGAAATCGAAAAGAGCATCGCTCCACCCGTTGCGAGCGGACCAGAACTTCCAGTCCACACGGAGAAAGAGGGGGAAGAAGCAGAGGAAGTACCGAATGCAGTGGTCAAACCCAGTCGCACTGACCCACGTCCCGTCCGATCAACATCACTCGTCGCCGTGATGAACCGTTGGAGTGCAATGGCAGCAAAAGCCCGAGACCTGCATCGACTACCAAATGCAGAGGGCAGGAGACCATCCCCGCTGGAACCTCTTCCCGCCAACTCAAGCAAAATTACAGAAATCGCCGAGCCGAGTACTGTCGTTGAAGCTGAAGCTAAACCTGAAATAAACGGACCTACAAGACTTGTGGAGGACAGTGATACAAGGAGAGGGAGCCTGAAGTCAAGTTCCATATCAGCACAGGCTAAATCCAAAGTCGTTACACCACCAAAGCAAACGACACGAGCTCGCGACGAGTTACGGACACCGAATCCTGAAGCGGAGAAAGCCGCTTTGTTTGAGAGAGAACAGCGACTGCTTGCCCGGGCTGGGCGTGCTCGAGAAATATACCTGGCAAGTAAGGTTTTCAACCATTGGGCCGACAAAACTGCCCGCCGACTGGAGCGGGAGGCAGTGGCCTGGCGGCACATGATTCGTTTTCGCTACTTCAGGGGGTGGTGTCAAGCCCCCAGCTCTAGGACGCCGGTTGTGGACCAAATGAGAGCCAGCACGGCCGCGCAGAAACTTAGAAGAGCTGTTGCAGAGCAACAGGCTCATTTCAAATTGGCTGCCGACGCTGCTCTCCGCTCTCATCAGCAGCGCAAAGCGCACCGAGCTCTAGAAAAATGGGCATGCCTCGTGTCAGCCGGCAAAGCTCGCGATCGCGGTCAGGTACGGAAGAGAAGTGTCATGGTACAGCGTTGGTCACAACGAGCTCAGTACAATGCTCAGCTTGGTCGTATAACAACCGAACACATGGAGAAGGCAAACCATGCCGACGTTTTATTCAAATGGTCAAGGAAGGCCAACGATGATTTGAGACGAAATTTCGTTGCGGAACAAATCGGGCTGGGCTGGTCCTCGTATCAATTTCTCCAAGAATGGTGGGATCAAGCGGAGGCCAGCCGAAGGGCCCAGGTGTATCGGCAAAATCTTCTGATATCAAAAGCAATTCGTGCCTTCGATCAGTGGAATTTGCAAGCAAGGGCTCAGGCTTTTGTTTGGAGGACAGAGTACGTCTCTGTGAGCAGAGTGTTCGATCAATGGATGCGGCTCTGTCGCCAGGATGGCGAGTTGAGAGACAAGGCCCAGACGTTCCAGAAACAAGTAGCTGTGTCGAAGGTGATGCGATGCTGGAAGGCTGTTGACAGCTCTCGCTCGGAATTAGATCGTCTTGACAGACGAGTGCAGCTTTATATTGGAAGCATGCGACTTCTGGATACCCTTACACAAACAGTAACGCGAAACCAGCTGCGCGAGAAGGTGGCTCTGAAACGATACCTCCGTCAGAGATACCAACAAGTGTCATCCGCAAGAAAAAGAAGAAACTTTTTCTCGGCATTGGATAAATGGCAATCATTAACACTCTATAACAGGCGCCACGCAGCTTTGGCAACCGAAATGGTAGAGTCTCAGGAGCTCAATCGTGTTGTCACGGCCGTGGATAGGTGGCATGAGCAAGCCATGGCTGATGAAGTACAATCGATGGACGCGCATCTGCATTATATCCGAGCCTGGTGGAGCGCGTGGAATGAGGCATCGTGGAGTTACCGCCAAAGGGGATCCGATGCTTGGGATCTATGGGCCTCCGGAACACGTTATCAGTATCAAAAAGCATGGTCTAATTCTTCGATTCAGCAGCGGGGACACGCACACACGGCCGCTGTGGTAGAAGAGAGGCACGATCGTGATAAGCAGCGTCGGGCATTCAACTATTGGAGAGCACGAGTTGACCCGGGCAAGAGCGTCAGATTCGACACCGTTCCCCAATCTGCCCCTGAGCATCGACCGTCACACCCGTTCCGGATGAGTTGGAAGACTGCATCAGCACTAAGGTCACAACTAGGGAGAAGCCAGGGCATACCGAACTATCAACCTCTACAACTAGAAACTCCTACTCGGTGGACGGGGCAAATGGTGCCAATGAGCAATGTTTTGTCGGCACGGCCAATGCCATCTCTTCGTGAAGCTGAGGAAAGGCCATCTGCTCCCTCGAGTGTCACCGAGGATGAACCCCTTGTATCGCCTTCTAGGCGGCAGATCGAGCGAACATATACCGCTAACTTATCCACGACGACTCCTCGTGGTCCCATTCCTACACACTTGGAACCACCTGTCCAGGCTCAAGCTGGCCCTTCGTGGATCCGCAGCTCTCTCGGAGAGGCTTCATTGGCCCCAGGGGAAATTTCCAGATCCCATCATCGAGGGGTTAAAAGAAAGAGTCCCAGTACTGTCCCAGCTCAGGCAGACGCGAACCTCATTCCATCAACCAAATACGCCGCCAACCATACCACCCCCATAAACTTTGGTGCTACGTCAATGAGAGCAGACATGAAAAACATGCCAGCCACTATACGCTCCACCGTACCATATACACCCGCCCGTTCGGCGATCAAGGGCAAATCGCTTCTATCAAGGTCCTCCCGAACACAGACGGCGGATTTTCGAAAGTCGGAATCGTCGATTCCCATACCATCTATTAGAACCGGGCCATATATCAAACGGTAATTCAGACGATCCAGTCATGACAAAGAAATAATTTTGATGAAGAAAAAGCGTGAATGAGGGCTGCATTTGATTTTTTTTTTTTGGACATTGTTGATATCCTGTTTTGAGGGGAGAAATCCTGATCCGTTTTGTTGCTTGCAAATGGGATTCTCTGGGCGCCATAATTGGAAAAAAAAAGTCCCAGAGTTGATTGAGTACTTGTGTACATTGGAGAAGCATTGTGTTCTTGAAGGAGTTATGAGATGTTGCATTTTGGCGTTTGGGCGTCATTGCCCCCCTTGGCTGTTTTTTCTTTCTGAGTATATCTACCACGTCGCATCGTATATAACTTACTGAATATCAAC